TCTTATTCGATGAAAATCAAACTTTGAATATGTCCGACAAAATCTCGGCAGGGATATGAAAGACTCTGTTGACCTTGGCTAACCGATATCATTTATGAAATCATCATGATATTCATTTGCTGATTAAAAATTGTGTCGTACACCTCAATTTCCTCTGTTCGTCTGTGTGGCTATGAAACATGGTCATTGAAGGTTGAAGACATGAGAAGGCTTCATTTGTTCTACCACTTCTGCATTCGTAGCATAAGCCATATGTCGTTATCACTAAGTTAGTAACATTTTAGAGAGAATAGGAAAGTCACTTAATGAGGTTGTTGACCTCAATCAAGTTAGATAGCTGGAACGTGTTATACATGCCTACCCAATGTCTATCTCGCCGCACAATGTTATGGAGAGCAGTTCCAGTCTACACAAAGGTTAGAAGTGGCTGGGATAAAACATAGCATCAATTTATCACTGAGAAATGCAGAATTTGTTGTTGAGGCTTGCATGATAACCCCAAGGGATGGTTAGAGACTTTAGGTGACATGATTCAGAATTGATTTCAGTGGCGCAGATGCATCCACATATTCCCTTCATCCTTATCCTCCTTACGAATTTCATCATTATTTCATCCCTTCTTGGTTTGTTTTATCTACTTTCCAACCGTTTCACCACTTTCTCAGTTAGTTCTCTATATTTTATCTTGATTTCTCCTACTTTGATGTGGTGATAAGAAGTAAGGTAACTTGGATAGCTACGCAGCACTCTCATGACCTAGCCAGATGTTGACTAACTGAATGCCTCCAAAACATGAGAATTTTGATGTGTTTTTTTAACAAGAAACAGTTGTCTAAATGTTATTTTTCACTTCAGCCTTATGAGACGCTGTTTAAATCCTGTAGCCTTTTCATTTTTGATCGAATGTCCCGCGGTGAAACTTTAGATTTTTCAATTATCTAAAAGTTCATTTGGTTGGCTAACATCTTTCAGGAATACAGAAGCTTATCATGTATAATATTATGATTGGTTAATGTATCCTTCACTTCTTCAGAGGGTGCGAAATAGTCAATATCAACATCATCATCATCGACAGTGTTAACCATTTCATTGAGCCCTACAGTATAATTACATAAAGTAACCGTGTTGTTCGCGTCCCAGTGGTATGCTGAACCAAATTCCTGGGCTTCTGTTTCCACTCATTTAATTGTCCCAAACCATTAACCCGATAGGTAATTGTTTGGCTTTCTTGGGGATGTATGCCTGGATGCTACTAACTACTCTTCAGTTATTTTACACATCTCATCCTATAGTCAGTTGACTTCGATTCACTCTTAAGAATAGCATACTACATTTATGCATATTTATATGGTCGAAAGAAATTTGTACAGTCTTCATTTGTACCTTGACCAGGGAAGACTGAATGAATGACATCACCTACCGAGTTTTATCCCTCTTTATACACCACTAGAATATACACCTTCAAAATTCATTTATCCACTACCTTCTTCCTCCAACACTATCCAACCTTGTCATTTGTAGTACTGATCGATAGTGGCTAGCAGTGAAATCCAGGATGCATATTTCTTCCTACTTGGGGTTCATTAGCTGGATGTACCTGCCTCCCACTGAGTGATGTTGTTCCCACTGGGATTTGACTCGGGAGCGATCGCTTCAAACGCCAGAGCAATAGTACTAAAACTATACCCGTTGCATAAGATGTGGCTACTGTGACTCAATGATGTAGTAGATGACTCCGGGGAGTTCGAAGCGATCGCTCCCGAGTCAAATCCCGGTGGGAACAACAACACTCACTGGGAGGTACGTACATCCAGGTGGTGAGTCCGAAACAGGACGAAGTGCGCATCCTGGAGTCCACTGCTAGCCACCATCCATCATTACTACCATAAGAGCACAGGTAATATTGAGGCATCCACACAGGATCCCATATACTAATAGAGACTGATCAATTCTGTTCAATCAACGATGGTATGATATAAAAACCATTATATATACTGAATTATGTGGGTTTTATTTCTCCCTATATATATCTTATGAACTAATAGCCTGTATGCAGTTGAAGACAAGGCGAAGAAATACAATGAATCTATCGTATTCTGCTAAACTTGTTGTCCTAGCTTCGATAAAATATTTGAAGGGAACCAATTGTATGAAATTTATCATTTAACTATTTGAGACAGATGTAGTTTGACAGACCAGCATTTTATATTCAGTGATGATTGAAGGTGAGGTGAAAATTTGGACCACAATCGGTGGTCGCTGGTTCGAATCCAGCCGCGGTTCGAATTTTCATCTCATCCTCAATTATCATCCAATATAGAATATTATTTAGCTACTGTCCAAATTTTTTTCAAGTAAACAAATCCCATCTTGGTTTAAATATCTATAAACTAAACAGTTACTCAACGATGACATTGGGTGGCGGTTTGAGCTATATCGTGAGCTAACAGAAGTTGGAAATATGGACCATTGAATGCTAACCGAGTGGCTCAATGGCAACGCGCTGGCCACGGAACCTGAAGGTCGCGGGTTCGTGGGTGCGAACTGCTGAGGAGTGACATACTAGAACGGACCAGTTGTCCAGTGCTCCTAGGTGTCCTTTGTTCCTCCAAATGATGTCAGTCTACGATGAATAACAACTTGAAATATTTCCAAATTCCACAACCCCCTCAAAATTCAATTAAACTAGAATTACAATCTACCACAGGGCTCAGTTTTAAAACCCATATATTCTCCGATTTTCTCCTATCCTTTACCTGGATTATGCTTAAAATGTTTGCATATTTTATCAATGAGATAGTTGAATTAACATCTCATTTTTATTGATTTATTAGATTTATCACACAGTGAAGGAACGGTATTGTTTACTGGATTACGTTTCCGACATACTTCGTTGTTCACAGACTTCAAATCGTCTCACCCTATTTCAGTTAAAGTTGGCTTAGTAAAGTATCTAAGTTTATCATTATTATTATTATTATTAGTCCCTTGGGTTCCTAGTGGAACATAGGGATTCAGTACCACGTCTCCAGTGACCTCTGTTCTCTGAGATCTTTTGAACCTGGTCCCACGACAGCCCACAACCTCTCATTTCCTCCTCGCATGACCTCTTCCATGTCACCCTCGGCACCGACGCCCAACTCGTTGCTTCCCATGGGGATTCCACTCGAGTAACTGGCCTGACGCGTGATGTCCTCAGTCGGCCTTCTCAGTGCATGGCCAATCCATCTCCACTTCCTCCTGCATATTTGTTGACTGATAGGTTCTTGCTTCGTTGGTTCGTTCCCAGAGCACCTTGTTGCTTATTCTTTGTGGCCATCTGATCTTCAGTAGCAAGCGTAAGCAGTTGTTGATGAATGTCTGTAGTTTATTGGAAATGCCTTTCGTGACGCGCCAAGTCTCTGAACCATCACACAGAAGCACTGACTTGACTGAGGTTGGTGTTGAAAATCCACATCTTGTTCCACATGCTGAGTGCAGAAGATCTCCACACTGATTTCAGGCTAATGAAGGCCTGTCTTGCTTTTCCGATTCTGACTCTGACATCCTCGTCTGTGCCTGTGCCACCTGTAGTTGAAACAGTGTTGCCTAGATAGGTGAAGGAGGTTACTTCCTTTAAGTTTCTCCCGTTGATGGTGATTGGAGTTTGTTGTTGTTGTTGATGGTGGTGGGTATCTTCATCATTTCTGTCTTCTCTATATTCACCTGAAGTCCCGTCTTAGCTGCCTCTTCTATCAACTTGTTAGTTTTTGCCTGCAGATCTTCAAGTTTATGTGACATCAGGCACAAGTCATCGGCGAAATCCAAGTCTTCTAGGTTCTTTTCGTCGTCCAGCGTATCCCCCTCTTCTCGCTGCCTACTGTTTGCTGCATGATCCAGTCCACCACGATCAGGAATATCATGGGGGATAGTAGGCAACCTTGTTTCAAAAGTATCTAAGTAAATAGGACCAAAAATCTTACTAGTAAAACAGAAGATCTAAAACAACAAACCAGCTACATTAAAGACGCCTTAATCATCAACAGTTACCCTCCCAAATTAATTAATAAGCACCTTAGGAATTGTAAGAAAAACATCAGTAATACAGTTATTAATAGTAGTAATAATAGTGATAATAACAGCAACAATAATAGTAATAATGGTGTTGACAGTGATGTTAATAATGGTGGCGGCAACACTGTGAATAAAGAACTCAAACCTCCACAGTATTACCATACAAAGAAGGTACCTCAGAAACACTACGCAGAATTCTCAATAAAGCCGGCTAGGATTAGAGTGGCATTTAAACCTACAAACTCACTTTGAAATAGACTTTGTAGGTTAAAAGATCCTCTTGATCCAATTAAGCAGAATAACTTAGTTTACCAAATCCCTTGCAACAATTGCGAGGTCAAATACATAGGTCAAAGTAGTCGACCGGGATCAATTAGGTCATCGGAACACAAAAACTTAGCTAGGTCAAAATTGGTAGATCCTAGTAAGGTAAGGAATTTACAAAAAAGCTCAGCCATATCTATGCATGTAATTACACACAACCACACAATAGGATGGGACAGGGTGAAAATTCTTAAAACTAACATAACAGGGTGGAGGGAGAGGTTGTTTGTCGAATCAACACGTAACGCATTCAGCAACAGGAATGACTCAGCACCTGTTCCGGTTATATGGAGAATCTTACTACACATGTCAATAAGGCGCGAAGTAATTATGACCATGTAGTGGATATCTCAAAGTTGTGTAGTTATCTTGATATGACTATGGACAATAAATTATGTCCGAAACGTATTCCAGGAAACAATGCTGTTCCTTCACTGTGTCATAGATCTAATAACTCAATAAAAATGGAATTACATTCTACCACAGTGCACAAGTTTTACTCTTATATTAAAAAATTAACATCTCCCTCTTCACTTCAGTATTATTAGTCAGTATATATCACAAATATTTAATGATTACTAGCAATAATCATGATAATCACAAATTTATGAAGAAATGCTTACATAACAGAGTAACAATAGTACTTGTTCCAATTTGATCAATCCGCCTAGTAATTATCATAATGACGAATTCAGTTTGAAAACTTTTTCACCATTATTTATCTCTAATCATCACAACGTGTTTTGTTTGATATGATTATTGCGAACACAACCTACTACAGCTATCAGTAAATACCATTATAGTGATTAGCAACCATAAGACATCTTTACCACCCACTCACTCACACAGACACACATCTATAGGTGCAGAACGCTTGTCTGAATATCCTATTGTCCTATAAGATTGAAGTGAAAAATTATCAGCCAATATTTTTAGACTATGCTATTTACAAATATGATAAACTGAATAATCAACGTGTTTTGATGTTCGATGTAAGAAACAAAACAACTTGTACGTCTCAACCTAATCAAATGATATATCTTTCATGCAGCTTATCCTTGTCTATTGTTTTCTAGTCGACGATTCGTTTCTTGTCAAACGAAGGAGAAGTTAACGAGTTTCGCCACTTTCATACCTATTCATCAATGCAGTTGCTCCTGTGGATACAGTTATATCGCCTACACACCTCGATAAGTTAATTCACGTATTACGGAACACCTAATCATCATGACTACACAAACGATAGATTGAAGCGATAAAAGACTATGTTTTGTCACATCTAGTTGATAGTGGTCACAAGGTGGATAAAACAAAACAATCAAGGTGATTCACTACATCCCACCGAACCTCTCTTATGGAGTTCCATTTCACCTTTTACACATAACTGAGACTACACGAATTCGAATGAACATTATGAAGCACTGAAGTCGAAAGAAATCTGTACAGTCTTCATTCGTACTTGACGAGGGAAGACTGAATGAATGACATCACCTACCGATTTTGAAAGTGCTCTTCTTCTCCTTCTTATCTTATTTCATTTTTATCGCTCTTTATACACCACTAGAATATGCACATTCGAAATGTATCTACCTACTGCCTTGATCCTCCAACACTATCCAACCTTATTGTCATTTTCCAAGCTTTGACCTACTTTGTCTATCTGCCTGAACTCCTGTTTACATTGTCATGTCATTATGGACATTCGTTTTATCCTTTATGCATTTACTATTATTATTATCTCTCCCTTGAATTCTTAGTGGAACATAGGGATTCAATAGCACATCTCCATTCTACTCTGTTCTCTGTAATCTTTTGAACTTGGATCCACGACAGCCCACAAGCTGTCATCTCTTCTTCACATCATCTCCTCCATATCACCCTCGCCTCGGACACCCTACTTGCCGTTTCCCATCTGGCTTCCACTTGAGTGCCTGGCCTTACGCGTGATGTCCCCAGTTGGTTTTCTCAGTGTATTCCGAATCCATCTCCACTCCCTTCTGCATATTTGTTGAGTGATAGGTTCTTCTTGCTTATCCTCATTATTCTGGCAATCCATCTGATCTTCAGTAACGAGCCAGAGTAGGTGGCAGTTGTTGATCAATGTGTGTAGTTTATTGGAAATCCCTTTCGTAACGTGCCAAGTCTCTCAACCATTACATAGAAGCACTGACTTGACTGAAGTTGGTGTTGAAAATCCTGATATTGTTCACGCTTAATGCTGAGTGGATTGCAGAAGATCTCCACACTGGTTTCAGGTTAATGAACGCCTGTCTTGCTATGTTTCCGATCCTGGCTGCTTAGACGTCGTCATCTGTGTCGCCACCACCACCAACTGTGGTTGAAACGATGCTGTCATGATAGGTGAAAGAGGCTACTTCCTTTAAGTTTCTCCAGTTGATGTTGATTCGAGCTTGTTGTTGTTGGTGGTGGCGTTCGCTGGGTATCATCATCACCTCTGTCTTCTCTACTCATTAAATTTAATTATTCTAAAGTACACAATCAGTATCCCTGTAATTGTTAACTCATAAATTACTTTGACTGTTTGTTTCTCAATCCTTTTGAGTATCAAGATATACTGGGTGATGATAGCAAGCAAGATTCGAATCAGTAACCACTGGATTCTCAGTTCGGTTCTTCACTAGCTCAGTAATAAAACCCAACTGCTGACCACATTGTTATTTCACTTCAGTCACCAAGAGTTTTCCACCATTGTCATATGAATATGTGACGTGTTACTATTACTTGATCATGATCACACTAGCTAACCAATCAAGACTTTTCATCTCAAAGCGAATCTACTTGAACTAGAAAGGTGGAGCATCATACTGATTATCAGTGTGATTATATTAGATACCCATGGTTTAGCAAACTTTTATTGACTGGGCGGCCAGTGTGAGTACGATCAAGCAATAGTATCACGATATGAATCTACATACCAGTTGAGAAAATGACTTAGTGAGTGAAAGGAAATAAAAATGTGGTTGGCATTCGGGTCTAGCAGCTCAGCTGGTGGAGAACCGGGCCACTAGTAACCTAGTAGTTACTGGTTCGAATCCTTCCACGGTCCACATTTTCATGACACCTTCAATCATCACCAAGTATTAATAATACAAGTCTGCGAAACCACGTCTATATGCGAAAGCCAAAGTGGTTTTCAAGATAAACGTTTTCTGAATGAAATAGACCCAACGTTTGTTATACTTTTAATCCTCCGTAGAGATCAACTGAGAGAAAATTATATTTTAACGAATTTGGATTTATTGTTACTTATTTGCGCAATGAAGACGGGACTTCAGGTGAATATAGAGAAGACAGAGGTGATGAAGATACCGCACCATCACCATCAACAACAACAACAACAAACTCCAGTCACCATCAACGGGAGAAACTTAAAGGAAGTAACCTCCTTCACCTATCTAGGCAACACTGTTTCAACTACAGGTGGCACAGGCACAGACGAGGATGTCAGAGTCAGAATCGGAAAAGCAAGACAGGCCTTCATTAGCCTGAAATCAGTGTGGAGATCTTCTGCACTCAGCATGTGGAACAAGATGTGGATTTTCAACACCAACCTCAGTCAAGTCAGTGCTTCTGTGTGATGGTTCAGAGACTTGGCGCGTCACGAAAGGCATTTCCAATAAACTACAGACATTCATCAACAACTGCCACCTACCGCTCGCTACTGAAGATCAGATGGCCAGAAAGAATAAGCAACAAGGAACTCTGGGAACGAACCAACCAAGAACCTATCATGCAACAAATATGCAAGAAGAAGTGGAGATGGATTGGCCATGCACTGAGAAGGCCGACTGAGGACATCACGCGTCAGGCCAGTCGCTCGAGTGGAATCCCCATGGGAAGCGACGAGTTGGGCGTCGGTGCCGAGGGTGACATGGAGGAGATCGTGTGAGGAGGAAATGAGAGCTTCTGGGCTGTCGTGGGACCAGGTTCAAAAGATCTCAGAGAACAGGATGAAATGGAGACGTGCTACTGAAGCCCTATGTTCCACTAGGAACCCAAGGGACTAATAATAATAATAAAAAAAAATAATAATTGCGCAACTCATTTAGAGCAGTCTGATCACACAGATACTTGTCACAAGTGTTTACATGAAAATTTATAAAGAGATAAGGGATGACAATCTGAAAAGAGGTCAAGTAGAAGGGCTGAATTGAAAACGAAATAACAATGAAAATCAATAGAGCGAAAATAATAGTACATAGATTTTGAGGGAGTTGTGGAGATTTGGAAATATTTCAAGTTGTTATTCATCGTAGACTGACATCAGTTGGAGGAACAAAGGAAACCTGGGAGCACTGGACAGCCGTTTCGTCCTAGTATGGGACTCCTCGGCAGTGCGCACCCACGACCCCACCAGCAGGGATCGAACCCACGACCTTCAGGTTCCGCGACGAAACGGCTGTCCAGTGCTCCCAGGTTTCCTTTGTTCCTTCAACTGATGTCAGTCTCCGATGAATAACAACTTGAAATAGTATATAGAACTTGATTTCAGAGTTGAATTTATCAAAGGGGATTTAATGCGATAACAAATTATTTTTGAACACACGAAGGAGGTCTGAACTTCCTAACAGTTTAGGTATCGAGAGATTTAAGGATCTGTCCCCTACACGTTATGCAAATAGGTCTAAAGAAACAACAACGTCAATCATGTGACCAATCTCAGCGATATTTTTCGCGATCAAATAATCTGGATATGTGCTAACCGTGTTTATGGATTCAGATGATTCAGTTTGCTTTGAAGTTCCAAGATCCTTACTTGTATGGATCTATGAGTTCTCCATAGGTATGTATATGTCACCACACTTACATCTGAATTCCTTAGTGCAGTGGGATTTGACACTACTGCTCATATGCTGTTAAGGTTTGGGAGAGTATACAGGCTTGGTGCTTTCGATTAATCTGACTCTAGCTGAACAGAAAGTCTTCCTAGTAACAGCCTTCAGTCTCTACCTATGGACTGTGTCGCAACAGTCACTCTAAGTTTCAGCTGACTCTTAATATTTGTTATTTGTGTATCTTTAGAATTTGAAACGAAACTACTAGAGTTAACTGGGCACTCATCAAACTCATCTCTTAAAATTATATCACATAGCTGTCAAGAAGTCAATGGAAACCTATAAACATTTCAATGCCTGGGCATCCGAACGATTCAGATCTCACAGCCCCACTAAAATCCTCTTTGAAAATTATCTTTAAAGCTTGATCACACGGTATAAAAAGGGGACAGTTGTGTAATTTATCCATCGCCTAGGGAGCGCTGATAATCCTCCAGTTCATATTTGAATTATTTCTGCAGAAAAATTGCATTTAGTCGCTCCTCTTGGCATCGTCTTAATAGCAGTGCATTATCACATAATTCCCTTCTGTCTTTAGAAACATTTTTGAGACCTTACCTTGAAAATTTTAGTAATTACATCACCCCATTGATTAATACTTGCAAATACAACTGTACAGCTCCAACAGATGAAATCTTCGAAAAGAAAACTTTCTTTGCTGAATTGTTTTACAGCCTCTTGAATAATCATATATTTCGAGTACTCACTTTCAATGAGAAAGAATTCTGCGAAGAACTTAGCTATTCAAACTTCGTTTATGCATATGTTTCTAGTGGCTTCAATAAAGTTGGAAATGTAATCAGATAATGTGGGAGTAATACCTGG